TACGTATCTCTATCTATCCATCTATCCATCTTCTTCTCTCTTTATCCCTTTCCCGCTCACACACTATCACTATCTTTCTCTATCTCTGCGTCAAAACCCGCGCGCGATTTCTATGCATCTCGTAAAGCACCCCCCACTGTTACTCCGGCATTCGATAATCAGAATGCGTGACCCTGCCCTACGAGAAAGAAGGGCTCGTCATCTTTCTCTCTCTCTCTCTTTCTATCTATCTCCTACGCTTATTTCTTTCATTTTTTTATTTATCTTCTTCTTCTTCTTCTTTTATTGTTCTTCCAAAGAAATTTGACTGACTCGCGGAAAATTCGCGCAACAGAAAGTTACGTAAAAGTAATTAAAAATTAATATTTTTTGTTCACTTAATTACAAATATATATTGCGATACAAATAATACGAATTATAAAAGATGGTTATGTGTTTTTTTGTTTGTTTTTTTTGTTAACAATGTAAAAGCTAATGATACCAATTTGAAATGTATAATAACAGGATGAAATATAATGATTGAAATTATCCTTTCCAAGTGTTATAGCTTCATTAGATTTTTCTAGTAAAAACTTATTTTTGCATGAACGTTTAAAATCTGGCAGGTCTTTAGTCGGTAGTCAGACAGGAGGCCGTATTTGGCAGCCTCGTAGTCTTCTCAACGAAAGTCAAACCGACGGGAACGCGAAGGCTGACGCCGACGCCGACGCCGACGCCGACGCTGACGCCAAACTCGACACACGGTGGTGCGCATTCACCTTTTATTGTCCTTTTCCTCGTGCCGACAAGCAGCAGCACTAGGTGATATTAAAAAAGCCGTCCCTTTTGCTGGTCACTGACGAGGAAACGGAAGCCTAACGTGTGCGGACTTTTTAAGAAATTAGTCTCTGTTGTTCACGAAAAATGACAAAAATAACATTCCACTCTCTTTCTCTCTCTCTCTCACATACACACATACACGAGCATATTCTTTTCTCCTTTTTCTCTATTTTACTTTTTTATTTTTTTGTTTACCGTGTCTTCGTTTCGCCATCTCGTTGAGAGCCATGCGTTTAATTAGTTGACGATGCATTCGTGGTGCATGTACATGCACTCACCCTTTCTCGGAACACACAATGCACGCTTTACTCTTGTTACCTTACACTTTATATAAAAAAATATACACATGCATGTAACTATTTATATACCATGTATACGTAATGCATACTATTTCACGATTAACTGACCATTTTCGTCTGCTTATATTTCTTTTTTTTCCTTCTTCCAAATATCTTCCTTACCGATCTTTCTTTTTATTTCTTTCCTCTTCTTTTTCTCCTTTTCCTCTTTTCCCTTTTTTTTTTTTCTTAAGTAAATCTTTTCACGACTGGTAAAATTGTATATAATAAAGATGGTAAGGGGTCGAAGAGAAGTAGTCTTCGAAAACCTTAGCTTTTACTTGTGTACCTTCGGAGAATGTTGAAGAAATCATCATCGTGCAATTTTCTAATGCGGTTCGAAAGCCAATAAAATGTTCGAGAGAGAAAAAGAAGGAAAACCAGAACCGGTAGTTACGTTCCTACTTTCCAATATTTATTGTCTCTCTTTCTCTCTGTCTCTCTTTCCCCTTCTCTCCCGTCTCTCCCCTTCGAGTTTCGAAGTAGCCAGATGCAACGTAAAAAAATGCCACAATATGGCCAGGTTGAAGCTGTAAACGTGTGTGGATAGTAAAAAATTAAGGGGGAAAAAATTGGGTTAATCTGGTGCTAATCCTCGTCAAGGTGTAAAAAAAAAATGTCTCAAGACTCGTCAGAACTTTTACCATTCAAGGACGAAATAGTGATTCAAAAAAAAGAAAGGAGAAACTTGTCCATTCATTCGCACAACGACGATTTACTTTCTAAGGTCCCATGACCAGAAAGTTTTCAAACTAAACCTTTTCATATATAGATCACTATTCTTATTCTAGTAAAATAGAGAAGTAGCCATGAAAGGGTATAAATTATTATTACAATAAACTATTCAAATCGATCCAAATGTAAACAGTTCAAGGCTTATTAATAATTTGTTCTTATAATGTAAAATTGTCATTTTACAAAGTTAGAATATATTGTAAGAAAGTAGAAAAAGGTGGGGCGAATAAATTTGTCGTATTTTTAAGCCAACTAACGATTCAGTTGGACGTTACGGAGATGAGACGTAAACAGAGTGCAACGAGGAGTCACGCGTTCGAGAAAATTAATCTGGCCTCGTTAAAGGGCAGCACGTTGATGTTGGTATTGGTGTTGGTGTTGGTGTTGGTGTCAGTGATGTGGATTCTAGGTGGAAGTGGTAGATAGTATAGCTGGTGGATAGGAAGAGGCAAGGCTGTGGCTGCAATTTCGTTGTAAATCTCGCTCGGATCCACCCGACAACGACACGCTGACCTAGAAAATCAAAGGGTTGGATCCTCTCGCATCGAGAACTCGTCGGAGATCGATTTGAATTTTCCTCCCTGAGTTTCGCATAAAGGAGAAATGGGTTCCAGTCGACTTTTACAACTATACCGTCAGCTAGTCTATCAGTCGTTCTTTGATAGCAATCGAAAAGCTCCAAATTGGGGGCTCTCTTTTACAACAAAAATCAATGGAATGAGAACTTACCATATTTTAACTATTTTAATTAACTATCTGTTAATATTTTTTTGGTTTTTTTTTCAAACAACAAATTACACTTTTCGATTTCGTATTACGTATTTTTTCTAACTTGGATATCAAGGTATGAATAATGAAGACTTTTCAGGGTTGCGTATTCGAATATTCAACACTTCATAGTTGACATTTCTTTTAAAAAGAAATATTTCACCGGTTAAATTAGAATGATCCTTTATTCAGGATTAACCTCTGGAAAAAGGGGACATGGTCAAGAGGTATCCATCTATTCCCACTTGTGACCCTCACAAAGCCAATGAAGAAAGACGTTTCTAACATAGTCGTAGGTTAATTATATTTACGGTAGGCATATTTAAATGTCATGATCAACCGTAGGTAAAATAAATTTTCAACGTCTACGCCTATACGCTGTCTTGCTGTTTCGAGGCGTTTTATTTTCTCCTTCTAGGTTAACCTTCGAGTTAGTAATCGTAAATCTACCAATAAGGAAAATATGTGTGGATATAGTATAGTGACGTCAAACAAAAATGGGGAAAAATGTTCGGCCATTTTAACCAATGAAATCCTAAGAAAGTCGCCATGTTAAGCTGCAAACGAACTGCACTTTACCATGTAAGCAACCTTCAAATTAATTAAATATTTATCGGATTAGTATAATTATAATAAAATCGGATCTTTTTTTAAACGATAAAAAAATTGGTCAAGATAGCACATTTAAATATATAACCAATGTAGCTTATGAATAACAATTAATTATGATTCATCAATACGTTTCTCGTTTCAACGAGGAAAACTCGTTGACGCTAATGCGAGGACGACACTATGTTGTAGCATGTTCGCCAAACTAATCGGCCACTATTTCGATCGGCCTGTAAGACCACCCGCGATGGGATTTGCGCGAACCCCCTTTGTCCAAACATCACAACATTACACCTCTATCTATCGATCTATATTCCCTTTTACGAGTTACATTAAAGCTTCATAGAAATCCGATTAGAAGAGATTCCCGAAAGTTTCGAAGGAAATTGAGAAACGAGTTTAGGCGTAAACGACCTTAATCGCTTCGACGAGAAAACTCGTAAAATTGTTGGCCTAGGTCAAAAATAGACCTCCGATCGTTGAAGTTATGAAACGAACGGTGTTCCTTTCTCGTTACGATCGTATAGATGAGAAATGGTATCTCTCGAGTATATAAAATATAATCAAAAAACTGAAAATAAGAACGATATATTTAAAACAAAAAAAAATTATATTAGAAAATCGGGCGTCCAGTGTAGAAATTTTAATACGAGAAAAAAAAAAGATCAAATATATTATGAGAAAGTTTCAAAAAAGAAAAAAAGAAAAGAACACAACAAAAATGTCATATAAGATAAAATGAAATAAAAAATAAAACACAAGAAAAATATTAGCAAAAAGCACGAGCGTTGTTCGATCTAATAATCCAACGTAACTGCAGTCACAAGTGCATAGGCCGTCGAGGTCAAGAAACGTGTGTGGTTCGGGATGGGAAATGTTGAGGGAAGGAAATAGAGAGAGAGAAAGAGAGGGTAGGAGATACACATAGAAAGATAGATGGATAGTAAAGACAGACAGACAGACAGACAGTCGGACTAACAGCCAGATAGATAGAGAAAGAACTAAAGGAAGAGAAAGAGAGAGAGAAAGTTTGGTGGTAGCAGTGGTAGAGAACTGGTGGTGGTGATGGTGGTGGTGGTGGCTGAAACGACGATGGTGATATGGTGGGGCGAGTTGAACACGTGCGCGTGAAAATTCACGTCGTCACGTAAGCGTGGCGTAGGTGGCTGGCTGGCTGGCTTGGTAGGTTGTTGGAAAGGTAGAAAAGGAGAAGGCGAGATACGATGAGATAATACGAAAGAAAGAGAGAGAACGTGAGAGAGATGGTGAAAAAGGGATTGGAGGGATAGGAGGGATGAAATAGAAAAGCGAATGGAAGGAGAATGACAGAGAAGAGAGACAGCCAACAGAGAACGAGAGAAAGAAAGAAAGAAAGAAAGGGAGATGGTATAAACGTGAGAGAGAGAGAGAGAGAGAGAGTGAGAGAAAGAGAGGGAGAGAGAGGAAAAGAGATAGAACGAAGCTGAGGTAAGAAAGAGATGGTAGGTGAAAAGGCACCCTCGACTCGGTTCGAGCAAGCAAGGCAGGCAAGCAGGCAGCCCCTTTCGCAAGGCAGGCGACCCCCTAAGCCTGGTTAGGGGCGAAGGCGGCGAGCCGCGGAGGCCACAACACGACCGCCGTCCTCATTGGTCGACGCGCTTGCCCTGGGTGGGGCTCCGGAAAAATTGGAGGGGATAAAAATCCCCTCTAAATAGCTGCGGCTGCGGCTACGAAAAACTAGAATCCGCTCAGCCGGCATCGAGTGCGCGTCGCGATAAACTTCACTTTTAACATTTTCCTTCTGAAACGCTCGCACCAAACTGGGGGGAAGAAGATACGTATAGAGAGTATACAGTGTTCGGGGTTACGGATATATATATATATATATGTATATATACATATCTATATATATATATACGTTTATATATACATATATATCCACATATACCTATATGTATATTTACATGCGCACATATATGTACATGTATATATGTAAAGCGTGAAACTCACAAACTGGATATATTCGTGTTTCATTTCGTTGGCTCTTTCCTATATCACACATTTGTTAGTTTATAACAATAATAATAACCTTCAGGACTATAAATAATTTTATTAATAACAGAGAGATAAATCAAGTGTTTGTGTTTTAAATAAACTGTGAAAGAAAAATAACATAAAAAAAAAAATAAAAAAAAACAGAGATAAGATTTGAAAGTGATTGAACTAAGGATAATTGTGTAGCGGAAGTAAAGTGGATCATTTAAAAGTTTCAAACGTTGGCGCTTCGGGGTTCACGATCGCAGTAGGATCACTGAAGGAGATGCATCTACCAGAGGGACAAATACCGCTCGACCCCCTTCAGACGATTCGCGATGCTCTGACACATTGTCACGGGGATCTCGTACAAACCGGAAGTCCAGCGATCTTCTGCAGTATGTTACCGACTCATTGGAGATCGAACAAGTCCCTTCCGTTGGCGTTTAAAGTTGTTACACTTGATAACGTCGATGACGGAACGGTAGTCACGATCAGGGCAGGAAATGATGAAAACTGTTGCGGCGAACTCAGGAACTTCACGGCGATCATGAAGAACGGGGTCGCTAAGTTCAATGATCTAAGATTTGTCGGTCGCAGCGGTAGAGGTTAGAGTTTAATTACGTTTATATTTATATCTATAAATATATATAATATATTTTGTATCATATTAAATTCTATAATAAACGAGAATAAAATCAGAATATAATCCGAAACGATTGAAATACAACGTGGATATTATAATTTCAGGTAAATCATTCTCGCTGACGATACAAATCGGTACTAATCAAATAGCAACGTACAACAAGGCAATCAAAGTAACCGTGGACGGACCAAGAGAACCCAGATCCAAGTCTAGTAAGTCTTGGCCAGAATTTAATAAAAGTAAATATCGAACACAGAAAATCTTTTTCTTTTCTTCATTTTTTTTTTATCTTCTTCTTTCCGTCGAATCATCACACACATACTCAAGAAAAAGAGACAAACCGATAAAATAGAGATAAGTATTGAAAATAAGAAAAAAAAACGGTGTATTTGAGGTGTAACGATGGGTCTCGTAAAAAGATAGAACAATTTGTAAAAGTTTTGCAAAAGAAAGAGCATCGGGGGAAGAGTCATCTCATCGGCGGAGGCGGTGTGACCAGTCGAGAATCCGCAAACGGGTGTTGGAAGCTCGCGGCCGTTTAATAATCCGGCGTATAGCTGGCGGACCTCAAACCGCGAGCCGCGGCGGTCACAGGACGGTGCTTGCAAGCTCTCTCTCACACATACTTGCTCTCTCACTTACTCTCTCAAACGTGGAACCGCTTACACGGCACGTGCATTCACACGCGCGCGCGCACAGAGACACGTTTATCTATTTCTCTCACTCTCTCATTCTATTTATCTCTCTTACACGCGTTTAACACGCATCTAAAGAGAAAGAGAACACTACGAGTATCACACACACACACAAACGCACGAAGAAAACTTGGCAAGTTTTCAAGCCGCGACGAACGTAGGGTCTTATTCCTTTCCTTTTTCAACATTCTCGTTTATTTTCCGAAAAGTCGAACTATTCGATTGGACCGTGAGTTAGTTAAAGACGTTGTTTATTAGCCTACTACTACTACTACTCTCTATGTCTTATTCTTTCATCATCCATCTCTATCTCACTCTCTCTCAGCTAAAGATTACGATGAGACTTAGTCGTTGGTAGTAAAAATGAAAGAAAGAAAGCAAGAAAGCAAGAGAGAGAGAAGGAATATAAAGAAGCCGCGTTTATGCGTTTGTTTATCGCGCCACATATGGCGGTAGCATGTGCGCGCCACGAGAATCCGCGGCGCGTCGTATAAAGAACGTTATACCAAGCTCGTATAAACATAAGATACAAGTCCCGCTTCAACCCGGGCCGCCAAGTCGGAGAGAGCCGTCGTTAATCCTCGTTTTATAGGTCTTGGGTGGCCGGCATCTCCTTTTTCACGGTGTTTGTCAGTTCGTTATGCCCGCCAAAGAGATTTTACCAGTCTCCTCTACCACCCCCACACTCCCCTCCTTCACCCCTACCTCTCGCGAAGAAACGCATCGTTCATCGTTAAAGAAGTTAACTTTGTTTGATTTTTTTTTTGTACTTACTCTTACGAATCGTTCGTGAAATTTGAAATTTTTCTACGCCAACACTTTCGTATGCATCGGTTGATTTCTTTTTCTTCGGATTGTCCTATTCGATTCTATTTTTATTAGAAAAAATAAAATAAAAAGTGTGTAATTTTAAATGAAATTGAAGAAAAAACTTTAATATTAGGATTAAGATGCAATGGATAAAATTGATCACTTGTTGTCCTCTTTAATCTTCTATCTTTTTCCTATCTAAATTTCTAACGTTTGATTTACAGATTACCAATATGGTCATGGACTCCATCAACTTGGCATATTCAGTCCGTGGATGGAGAGCGCGATTTTTTGCACCCCCCCATGGCCGTACCCTCATCCAGCATTAATGAAAGGTAAGGAAATTTTCTTGAGTATATACATTTCGTTTCCAGAATAATGATCAGAAAAAAACCGGAAAGAATCGCGTATAGTGTAGCATATAAATCCTTTGAAAACAACAAGTCGATTCTTTTTATCTCGAAAGTTTGTAAAACTCGTACTGGTAAACGATATTTTCGAAACAGTTTCACAATTGGATATTAAAAATCGGATTCTCCTGTTATCGAGGAACTTGCACTCTTACACGGATACGTAAATACTTGAATAGAAAGAAACCAAAAAAACGAAAAAAAAACGGACACATTGTGTACGCGTGATAGTTTGACGAATCAGCAAGAAAAAAAAAAAAAAAAGAGAAAAAAGATCTCGAAAGAGGCCCCACTCGTTCATTCGTTCGTTCGTTCGTTCGAGAGAACGCGCGTGCAAACGAGAAAGAGAGAAAGAGAACTCGTGTTATCGATTTCGTCGAGTCCGCGACGCCTGGCGATGATTCATACCTCGTAGTGCTGGACCGAGGGGTGAGTCTGTGCTCCCTTTTCCCACAACGGACCCCCTTCGACCTCCGAATACATCCCTTCCGTTAGAACAACAATACGACTTACAAGCCCACTCTCCCCCACGAAGAACGCCTCTCTCTTTCTCATTCTCTCTTTTTCTATCTTTCACTCTCGACAAAGCTGTCCGCATGAAAACAACAACTATTTATATATAAATAAATGTCGCATGCTTTAAGAACAATGATCAACGCCTCGTCGATAAAGCAAAAAAAAAGAAAAAAGAATTTGGGGAAGAAAGTTTGTTTTTGATTTTTTTTCAGGAGCACTCCAATTACCACCGGCGGAACTATTTCCACCGCCGTTCTCACCGACGACCGTCCTACCCCCCGTTTATACCATCGATCATCCGTCGAAATATGCAATGGAGTATGCACCATTACCGGGTAAAACGTTGTCGACTATATCAACAACTACGACAACAACAACCTCATCAACGATACCTGGCAGTCCAGTAAGAACACCACCACCGAGAAGTCCGAGTGAAAGCGGGAGCGAGGTCACAACTGAAGAAGTTCGTAGTAGTGCCTTCGTCCCAATCAGGCAGAACACCCTCCCACCCCATTTACCAGCCGTCACAACGCCGTCCTCGTCTTCGCCCGAAAGAATTCTACCGAAAAAACCGACGGAAGGTACCAGGAACGAATTGAAAGCACCGACGGCATACATTTCTAACAAAAGTACACCTAAGAGGACACCAACTCCAACAACAACACCTTCAACGACGACCACCAAGTTATCTTCTACGACTACTACGAAAGCTGTCGTGTGGAGGCCTTACTGAACTCTAGAGGAAAGATCAAAAATGAAACAGAAATGAAGGAACTTAGATCCTCTATCCCCCTGGAAGGCTAGTGATACCACGCAAAGGACGACGTTAGGAGTCTAGAAAAAGAAATGAATCCAATCTCATAATTTGATTCCATCGTCTATCTAGTTTTTCGTCGTAAATGATTCCGATGCCGAATTCAAATACGATTAAGCTGCCTTCGGTTTTACGAAGGAAAGAAAACCGACCAAACGCGCGTGCTGATATCTTTTGTATTAGGGAAAGGATACACACACCTCGCTTAACCTATCATTTTATTCATAAGACGAACTATCTTCTACAGTAGATCGTTAATATTGTAAAATTTGTATATATGTGTAGATTTAGTTCATGGACAATAATACAGTGATAGTAAAGAATACTACATAGATTATAAATATTATATATTTATACGTGTATACATATGTGTGTGGTGTGTGAAATCGTAAATAGACGCCCTCCCATGACACATACGCACGCACACACATATGTACAGGATTCCGTCCATTTACTCGGATTCATTTTAACGCGTTATATATACATATATATATATGTGAAAATCCAAATTCTGTGATTCCTCAGTGTAATTTATTTCGTATTCGTGTAGACTTATTCTTCTATCCCAATAAAAACTAAATATTAGGTGAAGCAATTAATTCGATGCCTTTTAAACAAATATAGTGCATAATTTGTAAAATAATCATACATCCGTTATTCTTCGAAACAATTTCCAGCATTTTCGATGACTTTAATATCCACCTTTCATGGAACTGCCGAATTGATCAAATGAATTTAATATTCAAACACCGAACTAATTGTTACACCTAACACATATTTGAAAACGTAGAACAGATTTTTATTTAAAATGGCTTTTTATGCTTCCATTTACGCGCTGTTATCGTGGAACCAATTAACCGTGTAAGTGGAAGGACTACTGAACACACACGTATACCTATATAAACATATACGAATGTTTGTTGAAACCTGATTACGTGCAAGAATAAAAAAAACAAAAGGGTGAAAAGATAGATAAAAGAAGTAAAAAGAAAAAGAAAAAAAGAAAAAAAAAATGAATGATTTTAAAAGACGAAGAATATTGCTATTATTGATAAGTCAGAGATGATATTTGTTGTAAAAAGATGGTTAACAAAAAGAAAAGAAAGAAGTAAATATATGAAGAATGCAACGAGAGAAATAAAACTGAATTCTATGCGAAAAAAAAGAATGTTTGGCTTTCTCAATTGTCTACGTTTCCCTTTTCTATTTTCTATTTCTTTTTGTTCCTTTCATTCTCCTTTTTTTCTTTTTTCTTCTTCTTCATCTTCTCACAAATTTTCATTTTCCGTTGTACCCTTAACACAATCCTTCTTAAATTTCATCTTCCTTTTTTTTTTGCGAAAGGTTGAAATTTATTGCATTACAGAAACTTCCACTATCTCTCTCTCTCTCTCTCTCTCTCTCTCGTTCTAATTTTCTACGATATCCGTTCGTATCCACGACGTCGTCGGTCAAGTACATCGTTCAAAAATTTACTCTCACCCTTGCGATTTTTCGCCCCTACATACACCCACACCACACACAGATACACAGTCACTTATATAGATCCTTCACTCGAGAAGAGACATTCGCGCTATCTTTTTCTTTTTTTTTCTTACTCTTCGTCGACCTTTTCGCGTGTTTTCTTTTTACACGTTCGATTTCTCGAGAGTATATATGAAAAAAAAAGAGAGAGAGAGAGAGAGAGAGAGAGAGAGAGAGAGACAATCTTCGATATACGATATCATATTTTTTTTTCTCTCACACTCTCGATCGTTTGGAAAAGAAGTAAAAAAAAAAAAGGGAAAAAAATAATAAAAATAAAAAGAGTAAAAGAAGAAGGGAAAGAAAAGGATGGATAAAGAGAGAGTGAGAGAGAGAGAGAGATCGAAAGCACCAGTGCGTTTCGTATCGCTGCAAGGGGAATTCATATTTTTTTGTCACGATTTAAATCTGAATGGCCCGTACAGCCCACGGTCGTCTTTCTCTCTTTTTTTTTTTCTCTCGCATACACATGTAGGAACGCATAGAAAAAGGCGAGCGCGCGCGTGCATACACGTATACGTACGCATACCACTTGAATCGTATATGACAGTGTTAGAATACGAACTCCCATACGACGATCGCAAGGGTAGAGAATGGTTTATATTGAGGGGACTGCGTGAGATCTGTATTAGTACCTATAGCCTCGGCACGAACCCGTGATTCTCATCCTTCTTATCTCATCCTGGAGATCGCTCGAACAGCCATCCTATCCCTTCTTCTCCCTTCTTTCCTTGTCTCCTCTTCCTTCTACGAGATGGAAGAGAATTTAGAGAGAGAAAGGGGAACGACGACGCGTTGATAGTTACCCCCTAAGAGATAGAAAAAAAAAAGGAAAGAAAAAAAAGGGTCCCGGTTTTTTTTCGGTAGCTCAACTTTCACGAAATTAACGCAAAGATTCTTCTTCTTCTTTCTTTCTTTCTATTTTCTTTTTTCTCTTCTTTTTATAATACTTTGACCAAAATGTTTCGTGTGTATACCTACCCAAAATTGATCGATTTTCGTAAATAGAAAGAATCATTAGAAAACGAATAGAGATAGGGAAAGTTTAAAGAGAAGAGTTAAAAATAGGCAGCTCGATTGGCAGCAGCACAATCATGATTTTATTGGCATAAGCTTCTGGGGATGCCGAAACGTGGTGGCAGGCAGGCAGGCAGGCTAGCAAGCAGGAAGGCACGTCGAAGCGACAATTTCGGACGCTTTGTCGTTGCCTAATGGGATTATCTCGAGGAAAATGAGAACCGCGTTGACACCCTGTAGCCGTGGGGCCGTTCGTTCGTTGACGAGTAGACAACGGAACCAAGTAACCATGAAGGGTCGCCACACGAACCGAACCGAACCGATCCAAGCCAATCCGTGTGCGCGCGAGACCCAACCGGCGCTAACTAATGTTTGCCCAAAGAATCGTGACGTATAATTGAGTCAATGTTGGAGAAAGGGGTAGTCGAAAGAGAATGAGAGACGAATAGAGAGATACAGATAGAGAGAGAGAGAAAGAGAGAGAGGGAGGGAGGGAATATAAAAATTCAGCGTCAAACCATTCGCTGATCGCCGGCAGAATAATCGACTTCCGGGAGTACAATGAATTCGATGTCTCTCTCTCTCGTATTTTTGTCCTTTTTATTTCACCCCCTTCCCACCTGCCCCCGTTGTTCGTTGTTTTTTTATCAACAATTTTCTCTCGTCGGCTCGTACCGTATCAGTAAACTTCTCGATATATATATTTTTTTGATTAACGAAAGATTTATTATATTATATTTGTAGGTACCATCTAGTCGACAATAACAACAACAACAACAACAACAATGCACAGGTACCGGTTAATACGTACGCACGTTCACGAATCTCTCGCGATACTAACGATAAGCATAGACACGTTCACAGATTAGAGCTGGGGAGGTTCGTGTAAGTCATCTCGTCAACGTGCACGAGTACGCGAACTGTCCAGCATGTATCTATCTCTCTCTCTCTCTATCTCTCTCTCTCTAACATATATATACAAACACACACTCTCTTCCTCTCTAACCACGCTCAACGATCGCGAGGACGATGCTCTCGGAGGGTCCTAGAGTTAGGCAATCAACGTTGATGAGGGATAGAGGAAGGGCGAGAAGGGCTCGGACAATTAGTAACCATCCTCCCAGTCCCGATTTCCACGCGACCTCTTGTCCTACCCTTTCTCCACCTCCTCTGGATCACGCTTCCTCTTCCTCTTCCTCTTCCTCTTCATCCTCCCTCCAACTGTTCGTTTTGACCCTCTACGACGACGACGATGATGACGACGACGGCGACGACGATGATGCACCAACAACAACCTCTACGCATGCAAAAGGAGGTTTATACTCGATATGCCAACATCCTGTTGTGTACCCTTTCCAAGATAATTGTTTCCCCATTCGAGATCTCTAACTTATCGAGAACAATTAGATTATCTTGCCCCAACTTTTTGATAAATCTATATTTATAAATAAATTATCGAAAATATCGTATGACTGTTTCGAATGAATATAACAAAAATCTATATATGTGATTTACTTTATAAATAAATATATTTTAAAATTGTTTTTATATAAAAATATCGAATTAATTACTATACCTAATGTATCGATGTACGTACGAATTTAATATACATGTGTTTCTTCGATCAAGGAAAAGGTTTGTTTGATCAAAGGATCGACAAGAAAGTGAATCCTGTTTCTTATTCCTCCTTTGAAGAGATCTTTGATAGGTAAACATTGATACTCTCGAAGAGAGACTATTCTTAAGTCTTCTACCTTGTAACTAATTGGCTCCTATCTTACTTTTACCCTCTCTCTCTTTCTATTTCATCGCAAACGTGTCGAGGATTACGCGGGTCCTTCGCGAATGTCCTCCTCAATGGACGAGGAGTCTCGAAGGAGACCGCGGAAATAATAAGCCGCTTTTCAAGTGGGTCTTGCAAACGGAACCCAATTGACTCGGTAAAGTCTCCAAGAGCAACGCCGAAGTAATCTTGAGTAAGTAAGAGGAAAATGTCGTTGTCTTCGAGTTGGAAGAGAAGGAGAAGGAGGAACAGGAGGAGGAGGAGGAGGAGGGTTCCTTACTTTGGGGGTGGTAGGGTTGTAGTAGCTTACAAGATAAAGCTTCGAATGATACGATAGCTTAAGAAGAAGAATAAGAAAAAGAATAAGATGAAGAAGAAAAAGAAGAAGGTGGAGGAGGAGGAGGAGGAGGAGGAGGAGGTGAAATAGAAGATGGAGAGAGACATTTAACGAGCTGTTTTGCATCGCAATGCTTCGACCTCGTTATCGGCTATCGATCCGTCCTGCCGCGATGCCAATGCGGATTAAAGGGTACCTGCGGCGGCACTAGGGGGTGGCTGCTGCGTGCACCCTCGCAGTTCGCCACTTTCTTTGTGTATATTCGTGCGTGCGTACACAAATGTACGTTGTTCCCGTATATGTGTGTTTGTTCGTTCGTTCGTTCGTTCGTTCGAATGTACCAAGCTCGCGTGCGAATGCGCGTTGCACGTTCGTTTAACCGATTGCCACTCATGCAAAAGCGAGAGAGAGAGAGTGAGGGAAAGGGTGAGAGAGGGAAATCGGGTGGGAGGAACAGTGCATTTTCGTGGAAACCACCGATTTTCATTCGTTTCTCCCTTTTCCTCGAAATTCTTTCTGTTCCATAAATTTTCCATCCAGATGTTATCCTTTATATTTGTTTTGTTTGTTTTTCTTTTTTCCCCCTTCTCTCCCCCCCTCCTCCTCTACGTTTTTAAGAGAAAAATCCTTTACGTTTTTATAAATAATGTGAAAGAATTTTCCGGAGGAAGAGAGAGATTTCTAAACTTGAAATAAACCAATACAACTTAGAAAGGAAAGGTAAACTTTGGAAAACATTCGGGTAATAAAAAGAGAGAGAGAACCTTTTTCTTTTATTTTCTTTTTTTCAAAATTATGTCGTAAAAGTAGGTATACGGGCTTTCGCCACTCAAAGACCACAATTTTTAACCACAAAGGATGCCGATTTGGTGGCCGATATGCCCCGAAATAAAAGAAAACTAGCCGAAGATTGCAACACAGCTACCTCAAGATTTACTGTAAAATTTTTACTAGATTGATTTCTTTCAAACATTAAAAACTGGAAAGAGAAACTTTCCTTTAAAATCATATTATAAAAATCTATTGTTAAGAGTTAAATCGTTGTTCGTAAAACTTAGCTACATCTTTAAAGATTTACTTCATTCCTTTATATTCTTGAATACACACAACACACATAATATGAATACAAATGTATAGCTATTAACATTCTCCCTTCTTTTCATTTCAATTTCGTCGACTACCCTTTGAAAGTTTATTTTCGAGTATATTAATTTTAAAAAATTAAATCTAAACAAGAAAAATTAACGTTAAAAAAGATTTCATAATTGTAACATTAATTCATGAAAGTTTAGTAAATTTAAAAAATCTTACATCTTATAGATCTTTCAAAGAGCAACGAAG